ACATCCACACCCACACATCTCTATATATTCATAACAGGTAAACATGGGTGAAAGTGTAAACGTTTACCACCTATTACTGTCATTTTTTAAAAAAAAATCTGGATTTGAGTTTCGGTATTTTATAAAGATGCATTTAATTATGTATTTCACCCCTTTAAAGCTACAGTCTTAAAACATATGTTAAAGTCATTTAGACAAATCAGTGGGATTTACTCCAGAGTAGACTTGCCCTGGATTACACCATCAAATTGCTAAAGACAAAATATTTGTGTGTCAGAAGCAGAAAATTAATTTTCCTAATTTCCTAACTTGTTAAACTTGTTAAACCGAAGATCCTGCTTCGGCTGCTCCCCAAAATACTGTTGTATTTGATATTATTTGTCTGACTAAAGGTAGCCTGTCCAAATAGGATTAAATAAAAGCAGATATTGAGATTATTTTAGAGTAAAGAAAAATCAGCCAGCATATAGAATCATACGTAATAAAAATAAAGATTTCCCAAAGCTCATACAATGGGAAGTGGATAAAAATTTCTCCAAGCATCATGAGATCATCTCCTGTATTTAACAATGAGAGGGTGTGGCAATTATAGACTTCCCCGCACAGCTGAAGAGAAAGCACTGAGGAAAGGCGATCTCTTAATTCCCAAAGACAAGCAGCGGGTAAATATGATTTTGTTTTAACATTAATATGTCTAAATACTGAATGTGGAAGCAATGCTTTTTATGGCAGTCTAAGGGTAGTTTATAGGGGTGTGAATGTATAAAAAGAAAACGCCATCGTATGAATTCAGGGGACATTAGAAAATTGAACATGAGATAGTGAAGAATGAAAGATGTTTATGTCTGTAGCAACAAGACCAAATGAAACATGTTGTCAGTTTTGTGCATGAAATGAAATTAACAGGATTGCTTTTTCTTTTTTCTTTGAAACGTAAATATAAAGTACTAGCTGGGGTTAGAGAAGGGGTGAGTTTATAGGGGTGTGAACGTGTGAATATAGTGGTAGAATGTGAGATATAGTGTCATGACAGATACCCTGTTTGGAAATGACACTGCAGATATCACAGACAGGACATCTACCAGTAGAGGTTTCCACTGCTGAGGACACGTTGGTAAGACACCTAAAATGGACAGAGGAGGACCATGCAGGGAAAAAGAGCATATTCTTGGTATCCTAAGTCCTGCAGGCCACTCTTGTCCCCTGATGCATATTGCAATTTTCAACTTGCCATAAGAAATGTGTGGAGGAAGAGGGAAAGAATGTAAATATCTGTTTCTCCAAAACTATGACCACTTTGTCCATACAGATACTGCCATGACAGTACCTGGAATACAGTTCAATTCAGCAGCACCCAAACATTGTGTTCCAACCCTGGTATTCAACAGGGAGGCTTCAGCTCATCCATCCGACATGGGGCTACTTTTCTCAGCTTATGCATACTTAAAGCACAAATTTTGATATTTGTGACTATTTTAACTTCCCCTGGTCCAGTGTTGTTTAATGTTATCTTAAAATTAGTGTATAGCTGTTAGAAAGTAAACACCAACTGTATACTTGTATTGGTCTAGATCAGTGTTTCTCAATGTCATTGACTTTAAGATGTGTGGACTTCAGCTCCCAGAAGCATGGCTGGGGGAATTCTGGGCGTTGAAGTCCACACATCTTAAAGTCAATTACATTGAGAAACACTGGTCTAGATAATATGCTGCATGTTTGTTGTGAATAGCTATTTGCTGTTAAGTATATTATTCATCACCTAGTAAGCATCCTGCTTCCATTCTAGTTAGTTTTCTCTACAATTTCCTGAATGGTTTCTTTCGAACACGCCAGCTTTTTGCATTCCCTTTTTCTGTTCTTTGCTAACCTGCTCCAGCTGCAAGAACCTTTGAATATAAAATGTATTTGAAAATAATAGCTTTGAAAAGTGCTGCTTGAGAGATGTTTTCATAGTAAATGAAAAGGTTCTTCTCCTCCCACCCCCACCTTTCCCTTTGGGTGTGTCTTTCTAGACTTCTCCATGCAGTATTCAAAACCTGTTGCTCCTGAGCATCTGGTTACTTAGAGGTTTTCTCTTCTTTTTTCCTAGCTAGTCATGGATTTGAATCTCACGAGACAATCACTTTCCAAAGCCATTACTGCATTTGGTCTGGATCTTTACAATAAGTTAAATTCCGGTGACATTTGCAAAAATATTTTTTTCTCCCCTACAAGTATGTCAACTGCCCTGGGCATGGTTTTAATTGGTGCAAGTGGAAATAGTAAAATGCAGATTGAAAAGGTAAGCAAGACCATTATAGGTTTCCTGACAACAACTTCTTTTCTTCTTTTGGGAGGCATGGGGGCTGACTCAAAAAGTTATCATGTAATACTGGAAGGAGAAATCTGCAGTAATGGATTGTTGAGGCATATATAAGATTTTTGAGCAGTAAGGCTGTTTTTTGGGGGGGTTATGCAAATAACACACATTTACATAAAGTGTATTACACCAATTGTCTGCTTTGAAGACAATGGAGTTTGTCTACTATTTGGGGGTGAACTCCAATTTTATCCACTGCATTCAAAATCAGTTGAAAGGGGGTTTGTAAAATTGAAGTTTTCCTTTTCCCTTATTTTTTAGGCTCTTCCTTTTTGCTTTTTTAATTTTTATAATGATTATTAAATTTGAAGTTATGTGATTTTGCTAATGTGTATAACTATCCTTTTCTTCATTAGTTTAGCACAGTAAAATAAAACTCTTTTTCCTGCTTCTGCTTTCTGTTTGGCATCACATGCTCATAACTGATGAGCAGGAGAGAATAATGTTTGCATTTGAACCCTCCCCCAGATGATTTGGACTGCCATAGCCATTTTGAAGCCACCAGATTGGGGAAAAATTGGCCTATTCTCTCAAGCCAGTTTCAGTGACTCAAGATACCCAATGGGCCTTTCCCTATGATTGAGCTATAGGGCTATCCGCCCATTCTTCAACTGGCAGAAATAACTTTTGACATGAAACTTCCTCTTCCTCCCATTGCTGATCCTTATCCTGACTCTGTTCCCACTCACTGCAGTCACTTGACTTCCAACTAAGGTAATAGGTGACACAAAGCCTAAACAGTTTGGCACACCTTGACATGCCTTTGGATGGTGCTGGAATAACAGGGAAAATATTATTCCATTACAGCTAAGGATGACTTAAGCCTTTTCGCACTTGTGGGCTGGGGATGTGATGACGTCAGAAAATAAAAATGAAGTCAATGTCTTGAGTACACTGCCAGAAAATAAATACTGTGTGTGTGTGTGTGTGTGTGTGTATGTGTATATACACACACACACACACACACATATATATTGCTGGGACATGTTTGTGCTTAGATAGGAATAGAGACTAGCTAGGGGTGTTTGTTATAAACGTGTGTAAATTTGTCATAATCATGGCAATTTTGTGAAGAGAACATACTTGGAATTTTGAGTGCATATCAAGAATGCATTTGCAAATGTTTATTGTGGAGAATTGTCCAATCACAAAGAGGAGCAAAGCAAAATAATTGCACAAGCTACTCTTTACTCAAAGGCATTGCTGCAAATAAATATGATCCAAAGGATGCTGCTTTGCTTTATGGTAGGCCAGCTTCCTCTACATTTGGTTGAGCACAAAAATCTGTTGTTTTTAAGTTCATGTGGAGAAAGAAACCAGTTGGGTACCAACTTCCGTGTTTGCAGGTGCCATGTTGTGTGCCTGCCTGCCTGCATGCCTGCCTATTTATTTCTTTATGCTATACACAGAGTCCCCTCCGTTTCATTCTGTACTGATTGCAGCTCATTTTGCTACAGGTGCTACACTTTGCTAAAACCCGTAGAGGGGCAGGACCACTTGATTCTGAAAGAAGAGTGGCAGAGGTTGTGCCAGAATATGGGAGAGAAGGTGCTTTCTCTCTCCCAGCGGTATGTCTGAAAACATTGTTAAACCCCACAGAATCATGTAGTTGATCAAACTATTTGTTCTGTCCAGTACTATGGTCAGTGATGCTGTATGGAGGGACCCAGGCCCAGCAATTATATAGGGTGGTGGTAGAGATATATTTCCATGGTATCAGAAGAACTATTTAGCCTTTACCCTCTCAGCATTATAGTTGGAGGGTAAACTACACAACACACAAAACATTGGAAAGCAATGTAAAAATGCAAATGTACTAAGACTGTAGAAACCCAACCAGAGTCTAATAATTAGAGATAACACTGGGATTTGTAATGTTCATGTACTACTCTAAACAGAGTGAATGATCTCACCGTAGCAAGCAAGGGCCTCACAGCATGCCATCTGTGTCACAACTCAAAGAACACACAAAATGACACAGCTACACTCTGTCCATCAGCCACAGAGGCACAGAAACCACAATCTTAGGACGGATATCCCCAGTTACCCCTTTAGTTAAATGTTCAGTTCTTTTCTGCTTGTTTTGAAACACAGCACAAAAAGGAATGTCTGTCTGTCTGTCTGTCTGTCTATCAATCAATCAATCAATCAATCAATCAATCAA